TGTGTGTGTGTGTGTGTGTGTGTGTGTGTGTGTAAAAAACCAAAGAGGACAACTCTGGTCACTTCTTTTGGTTTTCAAGGTAATTTATATTACTTCTGAGTAATATAAGCAATATTCCCTTAGAGGGAATCTTCTTTACAGCTTTTCTAAATTTTAAATTGCTTCTCTCCTGTTTCCATATAGAGATGTATACTTAAAGCCATCAGAGGATCTGATTTCAAGAGACTGATAAAGCAAGCATTACCTACAAAAAAAACACTAATATTTTATAAACAAGAATGGACCCAGTCACAAAGGGCCCCAAATAGAATAGGCACGAAGGAGACCAGGTCCTGTACCATGAAGTATTAAAGCTCTTTAAGAGTGCCATCAAGTGACAAGTTGGTCGCCCAGCTTATTATAAGTCACTTTCCTAGCCACCAATCTTCCTAAGACAGAGAAGTGTGTATAATCAAAACAATGTTATATCACCATTTTTTAAAAATCCAGGATGCAATATAGAAATAGAAAAGGGGAAAACATAATAGTACCCACCTTTCACAAAAGGAAAATTTCAAGCCATTAGATATTTCAAGAACAGTACCATGCATTATTGCCCATCAGGCTTATAGAACCAATTTGAGTTCATTAATGTACCTGCAGCATTGGCAATAAATACTCAGTGATTTTCAGTTTCTTTGAAGTGCATTATAGGGATCTTTTTCTGTATTAAAAATAGTGTTTTACAGTAGTAATAAACAAGTTGTTGAAAATTTAACAGGCAAGCAATAACTGTACAACAGTAACACCTTTAAAGCAAGATGTCAAGATAAGTAGTTTTCTGTACTTTGGCCACATTTTCTCAATCACTTCAGTGACAGATATGTAATACATTCTACATATTACTACCACTAATAATTCTTTTAAAAGGCCATGTGCTTTAAATTGATGCTTTGTAAAAAGCAGCAGCATCTTCAAAGGATTTCTTTAAAAACATCATACTCCCCACCCCCTCTTGCTTCTGATACTTCCTGTGTGCCCTGTGGCACTGGTACACCAATTCTTCTGGGGCAGCTGGCTTCCCACCTTTAGGGGTATCATACTGGGCCTGGGCTGAGGAGCAGCTGTCAGTCCTGGAGAGAAGTGTATTGTAAGTTCCCACTAAAGGGGGATGATGGTTCCCTGTAGCTTTGAAAGTGGATGTAGAGGGCAGACCAACTGAGGCTGTGGGGTGCCCTGACATGTCCATGACAATTGGGGTTGCATACTCAGGCCCAGTGATTGGGAGCGGTTCAGCGTAAGCATGATAAACTTCCTGCATTGGAGAGTTGTAAAGATCTAGGTCTGCATAACCTGCTTCTTTTCCTTCTTCTGGTTCAAAGGTAGATCTCTGATGAAGTGTACCCACAATTCCTCCCACAAGTGGTTGTGCATACTCTGCAGAGTCAGTTTGTAGCATTGTGGTGACTTCTCTCGGATTTAAATGATTAACTTCACTACTGCTGTAGCAAACTGGGGTTTCCTCGTGTTCCACTGATTTGGCAGGGAGAAACTGCTTCATTCCTTTCCACCAACCTGCCCGGTCCCAGGTAGGTAAGTCATAGGTGCCTTCAGTTTTTTTCTTTTTGCTTCTCCAATGCCAAGCACATACTAATATTAGGATAAGAGTGGTGAGGACCATGACTAGCACAGGGACAAGAACAGCAGCCAATGCTACATCTTTGGTTACATTTGGAGTTATGGTCGTATTTTTGATATCAGGAGTGACAGTTGTTTGGTCTGTCTGTGCAGGAAATTCATTACTACTGCGCGGTTGTAATGGCTGAGTAAATTTTGGGGCATGACCTTTGGCTACTTTGGGAGGGGCTGTGGTGTTTTTGCAGTCATTGTTCTTCTGAGGAGGTGGAGGTTGAGTAGGTTTTGGAGGACGACCTTTAGGAATAAACTGACATCCGAGCAGTTCCACTTTCATGGCAATTTTCTGCTGCCATTGCATAGGGATCACTCTAATAAAACGTGAAATAATTGGTGGCAAAAAGTTGTTACGCACATCCTGGTGATAATCTTTGTTTCCTTGAAATATCTTGTACGGCTCTGTCCTCCTCTTACTGTACGCAGTCCAATTCCGCCCATCATCACTATACTGAATTCTGTAAGCAGATACGTAATAATTGTGCTCTACCATGGTGGATCCAGTGGTGATAATGCCTGTTATTTTCTTTTCCTTATTCAGATCTATTTGTAACCACTGATTTTTATCAGTGGCCAATGAAGCCCAAGGAGGTCCAGGTTTTTTCAGTCTGGACTTTTCAGGTTTCCAACTGTTCTTCTGCCCTGTGTGGTCAGTCCACTCCAGTACTGATGCTGCTGTTATCTGAGGGTCAGCAATCACACCAGATTCCATTCCCAATGTTCCATAACAACCACTTGTCTTAAATGTAAAAAGACTTGTAGATAAGTATCCCACCACAGATGTGAGGTTGTTGGCCGAAGAACTTTCATAGTATGGGATGCCTTTACTAATTACAACACTGATCTGGCCACCCAACACATCCGACACTACTCCTGCATGTATACCAGCCACGCATAATGGTGAGGAATCTCTATATCCATGGGGAATTGTTCCAGATATCTCAGCAAAAGGAAGGAGACAACCAGGTGGGCAGTACTTACTGAATTCAGGTTCCAAAAAGTTGGATACAGTATCTAAACAAGTAATTAGATCTTGTTTATTTATAACTGAGTATACAGCAAAAAATCCTCGTCCAGAGTTATGGTCTCCACTCATGAACATCACTGTAATTTCATTGTTTTTTGATTCAATTGAATGGTTCACTTTTAACCCCAGACCACAGTATTTACCTATTTCTGTTCTGCCGAGTCCAATTCCATTATAAATTTTCAAGTAACTAAAGTGACAAGAATCAGTATCTTGAATGTCATCGTCACCCAATTTGATGGGAATTCGTTCTCCCATCTTGACACGGATCTCCCATTTGCAAACAGTGCTGTTGGGACAGGTCTTCGGATAGTTTATGGATGCAAAAGTTCCACTTTCAGGGCCTAGTACAGTGTGTCCACATCCATCACCTTTGCAACTCCACCCCACGAGCGTCCTCGAGGTCTGGCCAAGCACGAGTTGTCCCGCACCTCCCCGAGTCTGCAGATCCGCCGAAGAGCTAAGAGACGAGGCGCCCCAGTGCGGGACTTCGGGGGCGGCGCTCTCCACGGGGACCACTCACCTTGCTGGGCCCCGGCGTCCCGGAGCAGCAGGAGCAAGATAAGTAGGAGCAGAAGGAACAATGGCTTGGAGGAGGAGTTGGAGCCGGGAGGGAGGGAGCGGGAGAGGGGGAGCGCGGCCCGGGCATGGGCAGCGGCTGCGGCCCGGACTCGAGGACTCTGCGAGCTGCGCCTGGCTCTCAGCACCGCCCAACTCGCCGTCGCGGCGGCCAGCAGCCCGCCTGCATAGTGCGGGCGGCTGGAGTCCGGCGCGCCCCGGGGCCGCAGCACCCGGCTGGAGAGAGAGCACGCTAGAAAGCGAGGCAGCGCGCGCCTCGCCCCGCGCCGGTACCCCTCCGCCCCTCACCCTGCTTTCACCTCCTCCTCTGTCCCTTCCCTTCGCCCCCCGCCCCGAGACCCCAGGCGGGAGCGCAGGGGAGGGGAGGGAAGGAAGCCAGTGCTCGGGCCGCCGACGGCGGCCGCGGCGGAGCAGAGGAACACGCCGCCGTTCGCGCCGCGCTCCTAGCTCGGACCCCAGCTCGCCGCGCTCGCCTGCGGCTGACTAGCTGGCAGGCAGGCCGGCCGCCCGCTCGCAAGTGCCTTTTTCATACTTATTGATATTATTTGTCTTAGTTCATGTCATGCCATGTAATGTTTACATTAATTTGGGTTATTGGGTTCCTGTACTTAGCACATCTTTATTCCTCTCATTTCCCCTTCCCCTCCACCTAACCCCTTACCCTTGTTCCCTTGGACCACTTCCCTGTTGCAAGAGATCTGTTTCCTTATCATTTTCTATCTGTTGTTCATCATTTTCTTTGTTTGTGTTTTGCCTCTCTCAAATAAGAGATACTATATGGTATTTAAGCTTGTGTGTCTGGTTTATTTCACTCGACATTATATTTTCCAGGTGCATCTATTTTCCTACAAATGTCTCAAATGTGTTATTCTTAATATCCTAATAGCCAAGTAGTATTTCATTATATATAGATTCCACATTTTCTTTATCCAATTGTCTGTTGATGGGTATATAGGCTGCTTCCCTTTAGCTATTGATAGTGAATTTCTAATAATCCCCAAGTAATGATGTTTCTGGGCTAGGAATCATGCTCTAAATGTCATAAACTCACATGGAAGTGTCTCATTCAAAGTTATTTGAGCAGAAATTGAAAAGAGAATAAAACCCTCTGCATTTTCTGCATTTCATGATTTGAAAAATACCAGTGAAGAAAAGAAAAAGACAAAACAAGTACAACATGAACATATTGGCAGAACTCTGATGGGGCTATGCCTATGGCAATAATTCTACACTGAGCGTGGAACAAGCTGGGACAAAAGGACAGTGGGGATGTGAGTATCCTCCCTTGGGACCTCCAGCAGATATGGGGAACTAGAGCTATGTAAACAGGGAACAAAGGTCAGGACAGAGCACTTGCCTCATCATTGATTTTGCCTATAGCCCTGTACAGAGGGATTAATTTTAATAACTGACCCAAAATTAAATTATACTGGTACTTCTAAATAATTTACTATGTACATTTATGCTTAAATTGACTGTCTTATAAATAAGTGTATTTTATCCCATGGGTTCATATCTTCACAACTCACCCTTTAAGTTGTCCTAATAAAACCCCTAGATATTAAAGATGTTCTTCAGGCAAGATGAAAGAAAGAGTACCTGAACTAAGAAAATTCAATTGACCAAGGTCCTGAAACCATGTCCTTCGTCTTTCTAAAGGAAATTAAAAGGCCAAGAGGGGTCTAGGGGTATAGCTCAGTTTGAGAGTGCTTATCTAGCAGGCCCTGGATTCAAACCTCAGCACCGGGAAAGAAAGAAAAGCAAGAAAGCAAAGAGAGAGAAAGAGAGAAAGAAAGAAAGGAAGAAAGAAAGGAAGGAAGGAAGGAAGGAAGGAAGGGAGAAAAAAAGAGAGAGAAAGAAGAAAGAAAGAAGAAAGAAAGAAAAGAGAGAAAGAAGAAAGAAAGAAAGAAAGGAAGGAAGGAAGGAAGGAGAGGGACAACTCAAACCTACAGAGGCATAGTGACTACTGGTGACCTCAGAGGCCTCCACAGAGAAATGCACCAGTGGAACATAGAAGTGGACACTGCAGACTGCAGTAGCTGGTGAGTTCTTTGGGTTAAAATGCCCCCACCCGGAGAGGGTGATTGACTCATAGCCATTTTAGAAAGGGGCCAACTGAAGTCAGAGGTCAGAGCAGTTTCAAGTTGGCTCTGTCTAGATGCTCCAACTGTCAGGGTGAGATGTAACCAAATTCAAGCTGACCAGAGGTCAGAGAGCTGAGTTTGAACCAGCAGAAGGCACTCAGAGTGTTGCAGGCTGAAAAATTTGGGTCCTAGCCTCACAGCCAGAAACCAGAAGCAGCCTGAACTTCAGTAGAACTAATCTGCTGGGATTATCCACCACCACCATAATTCTACTGCTGACTTGCTGGGGTCAATCAACACAGATCTGTGCTTTGTCAGCCCCTTCTGTCAACCACCAACAGCAGAGACACAACCTGAAGTGAACATTTTTTTTTTTCTGCTTTTCTTCCTTTCTTTGCTTTTTTATTTATATTTTTTATTTTTGTTCTCTTTTTGTTGATTGTTCATGCTTACATATGAGTGAATACATTGTTTTTAGTTTTGTTGTTGTTGTTGTTGTTTTCTTCTATTGTGGTTTCTATTTCTTCCTTCTACCTTTCACTCCTATCTTGTTCACCAGTTTCCAAAGCTTGTATAATCTTTCCTTTCCTTTAGCTTTGCTTCTAATCCCTTTCTCTTCTTCTATTTCTCTATTTTTTCTCCTAACCACGTTTAAATTTTCTTCCCTGAGGGTAAAATTGCCATATTGGGGTGATATTTACTGTACACAATTTTCTAGTTTGTTTTACAAATCTTGTTCATATGGTTAAAGGCAGCAAATTAATAGTTATAACAGTTTGTCATTTTCTATTGTATGTTTGATGCTATTGGTATTACTGATTATACTACATTAGCCAAGGTGACATGACTGTTCTAATCAGTTGTGCTTCCTTGTATGCCAAGACTGAAATTAACTGAGGATCATAAACAATACTATTGGCCTGTGCCAAAGAATCAGGGGCTAGGCCAAAGAGGCAGCAATTTCTTATCACCAATAAATTGAAGAGGTAGGATCTTACAACAGACTCAAAATAAAAAAGCCAGCTATACCTGAACGACATCTCTGAGAAGTAGTCATTTCCTAAGGGTTCTCAATACTAGCAACAAAGATGCCTACTGTAAACAATTTACAAGCATACGTGCAGGAATTAAACAAAAAATAGAAAATGATAAGAAACAGAAGCAAGATGCCACTTCAGACTTCCAGCTCACCAAAGACAAATCCAAGAAGTAATGAGGTGGGACAGTTTGAAAGCCACCCACTTGGACTCTGAAGTAGTAACAGCAGAAGTAACAAAACAAATGAATGAGGTTCTAGAAAACAATCAAATCAGAAATAATTTCTCAGATAACTTCAGAGATGATGACCGTAATGAAGGGCATTAGTAGTGAATCTAGAGAAGATACAGATTTAAAAATAGAGGAAAAGTTTCAATAAAAGTAGAAGAAAAGGTTCAAAGGGGTAGGGGCAGCAGGAGGGGAAGGGGAGAGATCAGGTTACAGGCTGGAATCTGGAAAGAATCCATATATAGATTGTGTTTAAAACTATAGGAAGAGATGTGGATAGAGACTAGGCTGGAGCTCATCAGTGGGTTGGGAAGGAAGAGCCACTGAGATCAAAGGAGAGAAGGATATGTTTCCAGAAGAACCACATACAACTATGTATAGTACACAGTACTCAATAGTGTGATAAATGACTGTTACTGTTTTAGGTACTTATCATAACATGCTGTGTTTTTCATCCTTTAGAGCATAATCCTACTTATATAAAAGAGTTTACTGTAAAACAATGTGCTGCTATGCCAGTGTAGCCTCATGTATCTCGTGTTTAACTGCATATTTGGATAATATCAAGGGGCCATCACAGATGATTGACGTATACATTTTCAGTTTGCACTTAGAAGTTGGCACTCTGTGTGGTACTTTGTGATACACATGGATGAAATTGTCTAATAACATATTTCTCAGATTATATTTCTATCAAGTTTCACATGACTGTATTGAAATTTAAATCAAAAAAATTTGGCCTATGTGGAGTCTACTAGTTAATTAGAATTTTTTCTCCAGACCACTATTTGTTCAATATTAGTTTTGAATATCTTTCTAAAACAAATCACATCTTCTGATATCTTGTTAATGCTTGAGATTTTTTTTAATTATATGGAAAAATTTTTAAGTACTTTTCAGTTTTGTTTTGGTTGAGTTCTATTATATTTGAATATTATTATAGTTTTTTTCCCTTGCATTGTTTTTCTTTGAATAATTTTAATTTTTGTATATGTGTTTAGTTAATGATAATAAAGTTATACATTAATAAAAAGAGGAGCTTAGGAAAATGAAGGAAATCATGAATGCATAATTTAAGAAAGAAATGGGATCCATGAAACAAATGCAATCAGTTATTCAGAGGATTAAAAATCCTATTGAAAGTATACACAGCAGAATGAACCAATGTGAGGACAAAATATCAGATCTAAGAGAGCTACTAGAAATCATGAAAGAAATATTTCTTAAAAATAGCAAGGGACCATGAGAAATCAATGCAATGGCTGCTAGATGATGCAAAGAAGAATAACTAGATTATTTGGAATCAATGAAAAACTAGGAGATAGAAAAAAATGACATTAAAAAACCTGTCACAGAAGAAATGGCAGAAAATTTCCCAAGCACGGAAAAAGAATTTGACATACAGATAAGTGAGGAACATAGAACTCCAATTAGCCATGTTCAAAAAAAAATCTACCCCAAAGCATATAATAGGATTCTAGTAATTCAACACAAGAACAGAACATTAAAAGCTGTTAGAGAAAAGAAACAAATCACTTATAAGGAAAGCTATCAGAATCGCAGCCAACTTCTCCACACAAACCCTTAAGTCAAGGAGAGCTTGAAATGAAGTATTTCAAGCTCTAAAGGAAAGAAACCTCCAACCCAGATTCATGTACCCCACAAAACTCTTTCAAAACTGATGGAGAAATCAGGTACTTCCATGACAAAGAACATCTGAATAAATTCATGACCACTAAACCAACACTCCAAAATGTTCTGAAGGAATTCTAGAAAGAGCTAGTGAAATTGACAACTCCAGGAACCCCAACAGAATGAATCCACAAGGCAAGGCAAGTTTAAATAAACAAAGGGGAAAGAAAGAGACCACAGAGACAACAGGAAAATAATATGCCAAGGATAAGGTAATACATATAAGATATACCCATCAATGTAAATGGTCTCAATACACCAATCAAAAGAAACAGATTGGGAGGATGGATTATGAAACAAGATCCAGAGGGGTAGGGAAAAGGAAAGAAGGGAAAGAAATAAATGTGAGAAAAGAAAAAAATGGAAATGAAGTCTTTGAAAATAGGAAGGGGTGAAGAGGTTGAAGGGTGGACAGGGAAATAAGGAATAAAATAAGAACAAAGATATATTATGTACAGGTTCAAATTCCCAATAATGAA